TAAGGTACTGACAGGAGAGTCCTGAAATGTATTTAAACATCACCACTGACTTTCGCTTGCTGTCAAAATTAATGCAGAAATGGTTCTCCATGGAGCTAGAAAAGGTTTTATTCTAAAATTTTACAGTGTCTGACAGGAACAATGTGCTTCCCCTGAGTTTAAGGGTAACAGAAAAGCGAACTAATTGAATTGGAGCATTTATAGGTACTGACAGGAGAGTCCTGAAATGTATTTAAACATCACCACTGACTTTCGCTTGCTGTCAAAATTAATGCAGAAATGGTTCTCCATGGAGCTAGAAAAGGTTTTATTCTAAAATTTTACAGTGTCTGACAGGAACAATGTGCTTCCCCTGAGTTTAAGGGTAACAGAAAAGCGAACTAATTGAATTGGAGCATTTATAGTTCAAGAATGGCCCGTTGTCTCAGAAGGAGCCCAGTAGAAATTGGTGTAACATTGGATTCTATGGAGAAAAAATTACACTCTCAGCTGGCTGTAAAAATAAATTTGTTTTTATATCTCGTTCCAGTTGTCAGATAAATACAGAGTCTCCTGAGTGTATGTTATGGGCGAGCCGTTGGCTGGGAGACTGAATCCATGACGAAGGACCATTTTCTAGTCCCCGGGTGATCTGCTCTTCCCAGTTTAAGAATTCAACCTGCCTAGAAGGAGGCGGAAGCCTTGGCACAAATGTAGAAGTGTAAATATTGGCTGGCAGGCAAATGTTCTAGCAACAGGTTATGCTGAGTAAGAACTTTTTAAATTGAGGATCATAAAGAGATAGCTCGGTAAGGGTGTGTCTGCACAGCACCCTGAGCGCGAAATAAGTGACACAATTTCCGCGACGCAAATTGCATAGCTTATTTTGAGTGTATTTTGAAAAAAGCTCATTTCATAATTTGCAGCTGTCTACACAGCGCCTAATTTCAAAATAATTCGGTATTCTGAAATGCCCCTTAACTCTCATGGAATGAGGGTTCCTGGGACATCGGAATAAGCCACCTGTTATTTCGAAATCTATTGTAAAATAGCTGTTCTGCATCTATGGAAGCAGCCCGTTATTTCGGGATACTTCCAGTTTCCAAAGTAGCACCGCAGTGTAGACGCACACGTGGGAACTGTTTGTGGGAAATAAAACCACGAGAACGGCCATTTTGGGTCAGGCCAAAGGCCCCTCTAGCTCAATATTTACTGTCCAACAGTGGCCAAGGCCAGGTGCCCCAGAGGGAAGGAACAGAACAGGCAGCCACCAGGTGACCCCTCCCCTGTCACCCAATGCTGGCTTCTGGCAGACCAAGCCTGCAGGAGTCCCACATGTGCTGGCGACACTCGTCAGCTGCACCCTCCTGGCCGTGTTCATTGTTTAAACTTTTGTCACAGAAACCCTCTGGTGGGAGGGATGCGTGGTCCCAGTCAGAGGTTCGGAACAGCCTCAGCTCACATTCGCTTCCGCAGGAATTGTAGGTGCTCAGTGCTTCTGTAGACCAGGGGGTAGGGGTTTGATGGCGTCACCAATTGTCTTGGCATCTTAGTCTGGTTCGTTTCTCCATGGATGCGCAGAGCGGACGAGAGCAGCCCAGATACTGGTCCCATTTAGAATTCTCAGGGGTTGCCTAAAATCTCACGAGCGCTAAGCCTGGGGCAGCTGCGGAACATGATGTTGTGTCTGCAAAAGGGCAACACAAATGATTAGAGTTTGGAACGGCTGCCGGAGGAGGAGAGGTTCAGAAGTCTGGCACTTTTCAGCCTGGAAAGGAGGAGGGCTAACGGGGTATGGTGGAGGTCTGTACAATGATGACTGGTGTGGAGAAAGTGAACAGAGTACTCCTTCCCAGCATACGGGAAGTAGGCGTCACCAATCCCGGGGGTAGGAATGCCCATTGCTGTTCGAACGTGCCCATTGGACTGGGGTTCTTTCCAGCCTAGCGCGGCCTCCTCTCCTTGCTCTCATCATTTTCCCTGTGATTGCACAAAAGGTCCCACCTGGTGACAGGGGCCTTGCTGTGCCAGTCAGTGCACAGATCTGTGTTGGGAGACAGCCACCACCAAGGCACTTCCAATCTAAATGGATAAGGACAGTACCCAGATCCCTTGAGTCACAAACCAGTGCTGTAACCACTAGTCCCTCCTCCCTTTCTCCCCTTTGTATTGCGGGGGTCGTGTTTCACCTGGGGGATACTAACAGTGAGCTTTGTGCTCTCTTGCAGGCTCTGATCCCTGATCTACAATGGAAAAACTGCCTTTGTATCTGCTGTTCATTGCTGTCGCAGCGAGAGCCCAGATCTGCCCCAAGCGCTGCGTCTGTCAGATTTTGTCTCCAAATCTTGCAACCCTTTGTGCCAAGAAAGGGCTTTTATTTGTGCCCCCCAACATCGACAGAAGGACTGTGGAGCTGCGGCTGGCAGACAACTTTGTGACAAACATCAAAAGGAAAGATTTTGCCAACATGACCAGCCTGGTGGACCTGACGCTGTCCCGGAATACAATCAGTTTTATTACACCTCATGCATTCGCCGACTTGCGCAACTTGCGGGCTTTGCATTTGAACAGCAACAGATTGACTAAGATCACGAATGACATGTTCAGCGGGCTTTCCAACCTGCACCATCTGATACTTAACAACAACCAGCTGACTTTAATTTCTTCCACCGCCTTTGACGACGTTTTAGCTCTTGAGGAACTGGATCTGTCCTATAACAATCTAGAAACGATCCCTTGGGATGCCGTGGAGAAGATGGTTAGTTTGCACACCCTCAGCTTAGATCACAACATGATTGACCACATCCCTAAGGGGACTTTCTCCCATCTCCACAAGATGACCAGGCTGGATGTCACATCCAATAAATTGCAGAAGCTGCCACCTGACCCTCTCTTCCAGCGAGCTCAGGTATTAGCAACCTCAGGAATCATCAGCCCCTCGACTTTCGCCTTGAGCTTTGGTGGAAACCCTTTGCATTGCAATTGCGAACTCCTGTGGCTGCGGCGTCTTTCCAGAGAAGACGACCTAGAGACTTGTGCTTCTCCTCCACTGTTATCTGGTCGGTATTTCTGGTCAATCCCGGAGGAAGAGTTCCTGTGTGAGCCCCCTCTCATTACCAGACACACACATGAGCTGAGAGTGCTGGAGGGCCAAAGGGCCACTCTGAGGTGTAAGGCCCGGGGCGATCCAGAGCCAGCTATTCATTGGATTTCCCCAGAAGGCAAACTTATTTCCAATGCCACAAGGTCACTGGTGTATGACAATGGAACCCTTGACATCCTTATAACAACGGTGAAGGACACAGGCTCCTTCACTTGCATAGCATCCAATCCCGCAGGAGAAGCCACTCAAACAGTGGATCTTCACATCATCAAACTTCCTCATTTGCTAAACAGCACAAACCACATTCACGAGCCTGACCCTGGCTCCTCGGACATCTCAACGTCCACCAAGTCAGGGTCAAATGCCAGCAGTAATAACGGGGAGACAAAAGTCAGCCAAGATAAGAAAGTTGTAGTCGCAGAAGCAACATCGTCTACTGCGCTACTCAAATTTAATTTTCAGAGAAATATCCCAGGCATCCGTATGTTCCAAATCCAGTACAATGGTACTTACGATGACTCGCTTGTTTACAGGTAAGAGAGGCCAGCACATCTGTGTCTGCACTCAGCTCGCCTATTGATTTATTAATGCACCGTTTCATTGCAGTCCGTCCTCGAGGAGTGGTTACAGGACCACTTAGCCTGATCCGAATACTGCCCTCCGAGGCATATGGTGCAAAGCTTGTGAAAGACTAATGCAATTCTCCTCTCACAAATAGGGAAAATTACTTGGAATCGTGTTATTTTTGGATAATCCCCTCTGACCTTTATCCCCGAGGCAATCTGATTAGCAGACGGATTGTAAAGTTAGATGAGTTAAATGGATCTTACACCCTTGGTTTCTGAAAACGTGGGAGAAAGAGGCCCTGACTGCATTTGTGCTACGGCTGTTTGCAGCCTTTCTGCCACTCCGCCTGGTGCCCTGCATGCCGAGGTGTCTGATGCACTAAGTGGATTGGCTTGGCAGTCGGCTAATGGAACAGTCACACCTTTCCAAGCCGTCATAAAGGATTTTTTTAGTGAGCAGCGGCTCTTCTAGGGAGCTCTGCACTGCCAAGCACTGCAATTAGCAGGCTTGCCAGTGGGAGCCTTCCCAAGCCAATCTGTCATAAAGGATTTTTTTAGTGAGCAGCGGCTCTTCTAGGGAGCTCTGCACTGCCAAGCACTGCAATTAGCAGGCTTGCCAGTGGGAGATGTGGGCTGGGCTAATGCAGGGCTCATTCATTACTGGCTCAGAGCCATTTTAATTGGATCAGAGGCATTTCAAATGCCTAGGTGCAGGGGGTTAGCATCACGGGCATTAGCCCCGGGTGATTAGCCTTCTGTGGGGAGCTGAGAGCAAGGGGAGGGGGGAGTCTTGTGGGAGTATCGGGAGTGTCTTGTTCATAACTCCAGTTCCGTTGTCCCCCAGAATGATACCTCCCACGAGCAAAACCTTCCTGGTCAACAACCTGGCTGCCGGGACCGTCTACGACCTGTGTGTCCTGGCGATCTACGACGACGGCATCACCTCCCTCACTGCCACCAGGGTCATCGGGTGCATCCAGTTTACTACCGAGCAGGATTACGTCCGGTGCCATTTCATGCAGTCCCAGTTCCTGGGCGGCACCATGATTATCATCATTGGTGGGATTATAGTGGCTTCCGTGCTCGTTTTCATCATCATCCTCATGATCCGCTACAAGGTGTGTAACAACAATGGGCAGCCCAAGGTGACCAAGGTCAGCAATGTGTATTCCCAGACAAACGGGGCGCAGGCGCAAGGATGCAGCGGGGCCCTGCCCCAGTCCATGTCCAAACAGGCTGTTGGGCATGAGGAGAGCGTCCCGTGCTCCAGACTTCCCAATGACCATGGGACACAGTCGTCAGACCCTTGCTCGAGCCAGGACTCCTCTACCACTACCTCTGCTCTGCCTCCCACGTGGACTTCCAGCACTTCTGCCTCCCAAAAGCAGAAGAGAAAGCCTGGGCCAAAGCCAAGCAATGAGCCACAGAGCGAAGCTGTCACAAATCTCGAGTCCCAGAACACTAACCGAAATAACTCGACTGCGCTGCAGTCAGCTAGCCGTCCCCCCGCCTCTGTCAAAGGGCCCCCCACCTACAAAAGAGCACAAGCCAAGCCAAGTAAGTTTCTCACTTTGCCAGCTGAAAGCTCCAGAGCAAAGCGCAGGTTCTCCCTGAACGGAGAAGTAATGGAATACCATTGGTATGGTAACTCCCAGAACACAGGTGGATTATGGTCTAAAAGGAGCATGTCCATGAATGGGATGCTAATTCAGTCAGACAATTCTGATGTGGATAGTGGAAAAGCAACTTTCTCAAGTTCTGAGTGGATATTGGAAAGCACTGTGTGACCTGCTTTTTAAAGTGTATTTCGTTTTCTTATCATGGGAAACGTGTCTGAGAACTCCCTCCTGGGAGCGGGGGATTTGGAATTCCACTCCTGTCTCGCTGGGGTCTGGCTTGTCCATGCAGGGTTGTGTGTGAGCTGCCCCGGGCACACAGGTTTTGTTACGTTTATTTTATTTTATTTAATATAACAACCGAAGGCAACATTCAAAGGTAAAAATGATGAAAGGGAAAAAAGCATGAAACAGCACCAGTGCCTTCCCTTACTCTAGGACTGGCGTCCTGGTTCTGCAGTAGCAGAAAACAAAAGCGAGCTTCGTGGGAAAAGCCTTTTCTGAAGGAAATGCTGTTTCCTCCAAGCTAGCAAAAGACAACTCATGGGTCAATCAGTAAAATGGCATTTTTAAAATGATCAGACTGTATGTTTCTTTCCAGTGGCAATGGGTGTTGCCTTTGTTTTTAGGCAAATGCTGTACAGAAACAACAACTCTGTGTTGTTATGTTGTGTAAAATAAAATATCCAAGACGCTACCCAGCCAGTGTTAAAGTAAGTGCCCTTGTGAGCAGTACGCTTGCTGTAGGTGCCATAGGGGTTCCCAGGGACTGGCGGTTCTGCAGCTGGTGCGTGGAGCGGGGGAAGCAGAGGCCCCGATGCACGGAGGGCTCTGGGGCGAGTAACGCTCTAGGCGCGTGTGCAGGAAGGAAGCCACAACCAGATCCTCGGCTGGTGGACGTGGGGGTTGCGCCTCCCCGGCCAGTGAGGACGCGAGTGCAGAGCAGAGGGCCTGGCTCAGAGCCAGACTCCCCCGTGCAGTGTTTGGGTTCAGGGCTGGCAGGTGAGGGCCAGCCGTGACAGGTCTTTACGCCCGAGTGTAGCTGGGTCTCACGAGGCAGGGCAGTGTAGGGCCTGGTGTGTCAGTCTCAGAAGAGATGGAAAGCCCCCAGTGCCCCAGGGCCCAGATCTGCTGTCCCTAACCAGCAGACTGCAGGGACTGCACAGCGGGGGGTTACGGGTCCAGGGGCAGGCGTGTCGGCCTCAGACATGGAAAGCCACCCTGGAGCGCAGGAAACCTGCCTCGTCTTCATCCCCACGTTAGCCAGGGCTCAGCCGCATGGCAGCCTTGACCTGTGGCCCAGCCACGCTCCGCCGTGCCACGCAATGCCCGCACCCAGCTCTGCCAGCCCCACAAGCCGCGCTGGCCCCGGGTGCCGGAGTGCTCCCATGATTGTGCCCCCTGCTGCTTCTCGGGCCTGGGAAGCAGCAGGTCGGTGGAAATGCAGGCCGGGCCCAGCACCGTGGATTAGACGGGCGCGCAGCATGCAGATCTGTGACGGCTAAAAGCACGTTTTGTGATCAGATGAATCCCAGAGGCTCGGGAACAGGAGTGAGCGGGTGCATCATCTTCTGGCAAATGATTATTATTAATGCTAATTAATACAATACTTAATAATTAATGTGTTTTATTAAAACAACCCTTTCCCAGCCCCGGGGCTTCTTCCCCTGCCATTTCTGCACGTTCACATCCTGTGTGCAGCTCTCTCCGCTGCTGGGCACCGCAAGGGGCGTGGAAGGCAGGGCCAGCCACGACTCCCCAGTTAGCGGAGTAGCATGTCTGGGGTTGCAACCCCTCTTCCGAATGACACAGCTGGAAACAGAGAGAAGCCCAGTGTGAGCTGCCCCGGGTGGGATCGGTCTGCTGGCACGACTCTCCCGTCCGTTGCGTCAATACGTCAACGTGCAGAAACCGAGGCCTAGCCAGCGAAACAGCCATTTGCATGAGGAAAGCAAGTATTTCTATTGCGCTCGTGCCCACTCACCTCCGCTCGTTTGGTCTCTGACGAGGTTTGGAACGTGCTGGGGGTGCAAATCCCTGGTGTTAGCCCCACCTTGGCACCAGTCCTACCATGCCGCACGTGAGCTTGTAGGCCGTGTTCCTTAGCGGCGATAGTGGGGGAGGGGTTACAGTAACCAGGTGAGAGAGTTTGCTCTCTTGTCAAATCCCAATGATCTGGAACAAGGCGGCCCTGCTGGAGCTTGCTCATGCGAGGGCGCGGCAGGGCGGGGCTCAGAAAGGGCCCCGTCTCTGTGCACTGGAAGACAGACCATGTTGTGCTGGAGGAAGAAAAACCTTTTGTTAAAAACCAAGCCCGTTTTCCCCCATGCAGCTGCCGAGACCGCAAAGAGCCCAGAACGCCAACGTTCAACTCCTGACGGGCAGGTTAAAGCTCTGGGTGGCCCTGCCAGCCATGCGTGATAGCTCCATTTTGGCAGGGCACGTCTATAGCTGCGAAAATGCTGTCACAAAGGCCCCCCGGGTATCATCCGAAATCCCAGCAGTGTGCAGAGCTGGTGAGGAGAAAGTGCCGTGTGCTCTGTGCCGAGGGACTAACAGGCCGCGGCGCCAGCGTGTCGAGCCAGCGCGTGGTAAGAGGCTGGCTTTGCAGGGCTTGCGGCTGAGATGTCCGTCTCAGTCCCGTGCAGTGTAAAAGCAACCGAGCGCAGTGCTGCCCGACATGGGAGTGAAGGGGGCTGACGTGCTGGGCAAGTGCCAAGATACACGCAGGTGCTGGGCGGTTTCTTTTTGAACACGAAGAGCCGGTTCTGTGAACGCGCTAGCTGATGATGCCTCCGCCCTGCGTGTCCGTGAGGCCCGATGGCACGGCTGGATTTCAGGCTGCAACACTAGTGCAGGAAGGCTCAGATTGGACAGCCGAGAAGGTTATTCCCTGGCTTTCCCACTTCCTCAGCCGTGTGTGCAGTGTGTGCGCTTTGGGCACAGAGAGGCTGCCATTCCCCTGGGATAATTGTGCAGTTGTCACGGGACTCGGGTTCCCTGTGGCTTGACTCCTCCAAGTGGGCATGAGGACAGAGGAGAATCTGCGATCTCCCTAGTCTGCAAAGGCAGCTGTGCCAGGTGCTGGGGGCAGGTGTGGGGAACAAACGTGTTCATGCTTCAGAGGAACAAAACGCACACGCACGTTCAGGGGAACTTCGGGAACTGTCTCCCCCTCAGAGCAGCACCGAGAGGGAAGCAGGGCTAGTGAAACCTGCCCGAGTAAGGAGGCCAGCAGATGATCCAGGGACCCTGCGCGCTTGGGCAGAAAACAGCCATCGGCGACACCTCGCCCCGTGCTGGCTCCCTGCACAAGGTCACAGTGACTGTGCTCAGCCCACGGCCAGCAGGCGACTTTCCGCAGGTGCCTGTGGGTGCAGAGTTCAGACGGGGTCAAAGGGCAATGCAGCCCAGAGCACTGTGCTCAGTGTGATGGGAACTGCTCCTGTGGACCGTGCTGGCGGGGGCCCCCGTCAGAATCGCGCTGTCCTACCGACGGGAAGTGCCCAGGTTTGCCATGATGGTCTGGCTGCAGAAACGCTGCTGGTGGAGCGTGCTTGCTGCTCGTTGGCTCCCTCCTGCCTCTCTGGGTGCGCTTTGGGGTCTTCCTTGTGCTGTGCTGAATATGGGCAGCTTGGGCCAGGTGCCCATGTGGCTTGATGTGCCATTGTGGCTTCATTTGCTTGCAAATGCTTCATTTCCCTCGGAGTCCTGTGCAAAGAGCGAGAGTAGCAGCATGGCCCAGCCTCACCGCCTCTAGGCGAGAGTCCTGGCCATCAGCAAGTCGAGCTTCCATTCAGCTCCATGCTCCCTGCGGGCCCGTTTCTGGCTCTCTGCCGCATCGCTCCAGGAATTCAGACAGACACCGGCCCGCCCGGGAAGCATGGTCTGCAGCAGAACCATGCAGTGGGGAGAGCAGCAGGTAGATGCCACCGGTGCGTTAGTGTCCGAGGGTCCCAGAGAGGATTCAGTCTTGAACGATTCATCCCCTCGTTAGGCCCTGTTCTTAAATCCACCAGCCTTGCTTGAACTATGGCCGGTCTGTCCTCTGTACCCAGGCGAGACTGGTTACTGTTCAGAAACCCTTGGCCCACCTCTCTTGCCGTGGGCAGGCGCACCAAGCGTTGCGCACAGTCTTAGGTAGAAATCCGCGTTCCCAACGTGCCGACCAGCAGCATTCGCACCGGGAGCTGACAGGTGTTGCCACAAGCCTCTCTCCTGCGTGCCAATACGTCTAGAGCAGCCCGTTTTCCTGGGAACCTGAGTGTGGCCCAGCCAGAAGAGGGGAGTGTCTCATGCTTACGCCCTGCCCCAGCACAGAGGCATGCTAGTGCACTCATGGCTCGCTGGGAGCCAGCGACCCTGAGCAGAGAAGGGAGCTCCATGCAGAGCGATCCCAGAGGGCTCCTCTCATCTGCATCAGGCTGGGGGGAGGTTTGAAAAGAGAACGGGGAACCTGTCCTTTGACTGGCACATCCTGTGCGTTTGCGGAGGCGAGGCGCTGCGGAGCGCAGCCTGACCCTGCTCTGCCTTTGCAGCTGCCAGAGCGTTGACAGCCTGGCCTTGCTCCCAAGGGACAGTGTAAGGACCTAGCTCGTACTGCCGGCGAGGCAAGCAGTAACTCTCACAAACCAGCTCCTCGAACGGTGAAAGCGCTGCCCCCTCCCCCCCGCCTGGGGTCTGGGCTGCAGTGCTGTCTCTGCATGGCGCAAACACTGGGCTACGTGTTACGGGCTTCCCAGGACTGCAAACAGCGCGAATCCTTCGGGGGGGTCCCCGGCTGTTTCACCAGCAGCCCGCTGATGCCAAAAGCAGCCCTAGGCGCCAGGCAGAGGAGCGAGAACCGGGGCTTTTTCTAATCACTTCCTGCCCCGAGCAGCGGAAGGGGAGTTTGCAGACAGGGCCTCCCCATAATGCCCCAGGAGCGTTTTACAGGCTGCTCCTCATTGCCTCGTGCTGTAGGGTGGCCAGGTGTCCGGTTTTGAACTGGACAGTCCGGTATTTGAGCCTTCTGTCCAGGAAACAAACCGAGACAACGCCGGGCTTGGAAATGTCGCGTATTTTCTAATTAAGTAAGTTCTATTATTATCAGTACACGGCTGCATCCTGCCTGGCTGGGACATGCTCACGCTGCATGGGCGTGTCCC